TTTTTTTTTTTTGAGACAGAGTCTTACTTTGTCCTGCTTGATATAGTGCCGTGCTATCACAGCTCACAGCATCCTCAAACTCTTGGGCACAAGCAATTCTCTTGCCTTAGTCTCCCAAGCCCTAAAAATAAAATCTTTAAAGTGGAAAAATCACTGTTCTTAGGGTATACAAAAATAGGCTGTAGCCGGGCACCGTTGTGCATGCCTTTAAACCTAGCACTCTGGGAGGCTGAGCCAAATGGATGGCCTGAGCTCACAAATTGGAGACTGGCCTGAGCATAAGCAAGACCCTGTCTCTAAAAATAGCCAGTGGTTGTGGTGGGCACCTGTTGTCCCATGTACTTGGGAGGCAGAGGCAAGAGGATTACTGGAACCCAAAAGTTTGAGGTTACTGTGAACTATGATGCCATGGCACTCTACCAAGGGTGACAAAGTAAGACTCTGTTTAAAAAAAAAAAAAGAATGTTATGGAAGTACAATGACAGTGGAGGCATAAATATGGGGGACCTTAAAGGATGTGGTATACTGTAGAAAACCAGCAGTACTTCGGGAAGAAATTAAAATAGCAGGTGCAGCAATACAGGTTGACACTTTGATCAACATTTTTCAAGCAGTATTTGCCATTATCATAAAGGTTTTTGTTATTGTTTGTTTGTTTGTTTTTGAGACAGTCTCACTATGTTGCCCTCGGTAGAGTGCCATGACAGCAACCTCAAACTCTTGGGCTTTAGCAATGCTCTTGCTTCAGCCTCCCAAGTAGCTGGGACTACAGGCACCCAAGGCAATGCCGGCTATTTTTTTGTTACAGTTGTCATTGTTGTTTAGCTGGCCCGGGCCAGGTTCAAACCTGCCAGCTCTGGTGTATGTGACTGGCACCCTACCCACTGAACTATGGGCACACCCCTATCATAAAGGTTTTGGAAAGTCCTTTGGTATAGGGTGGCTCCTGTGGCTTAAAAGAGTAGGGCACCGGCCCCATATGCTGGAGGTGGCGGGTTCAAACCCAGCCCCAGCCAAAAAATGTAGAAAGTCCTTTGGTATATAAGCTTTCTCCTTGGAGTATTATAGTTTTTTTGTTTTATTTTTTTGAGTGTATCACCTATGTGTATTCTGTAGAAATAATTTCTTGGAATATTGGCCTATCTATGATTTCTGGATCATCTCCTGATCATGTGTTATAATCAAACATGTTTTTTGATTACTTTCATCTAAATTTACTTTGTTGATTCCTAGTCAGTTCATTTAAAAACTTGTTTATAGGGGCAGCGCCTGTGGCTCAAAGGAGTAGGGCGCCGGCCTTATATGCCAGAGGTGGCTGATTCAAACCTAGCCCCGGCCCAAAAAAAAAAACAAAATGAAACGAAACAAAAACTTATCTATACTTATCAGACATATACTTATCTGACTGGATTGTGAGTTTTAGATTTAGATACATAAAAAGAACTGGAATATCTGATTTCTCAGCCGTTTTTTCTAGTATGATTTTATAACATTCCTAACATATTTATTTATTTTTTTCTCTTGACTAGGAAAAGTGGGTTGAAGTTGCCTCAATGAAAGTGCCAAGAGCAGGCATGTGTGTTGTAGCAGTCAATGGTCTTCTGTATGTTTCTGGAGGTCGATCTTCCAGCCATGATTTCTTGGCCCCAAGTACATTGGACTCAGTTGAAGTTTATAACCCTCATTCAGATACATGGACAGAAATCGGTAACATGATCACCAGTCGTTGTGAAGGGGGTGTTGCTGTATTATAAAATATAAAGAATGAGAGCACAAGGAACATTTTGAAAATGTAAGATCTGACCTTTTACAAAACAAACATATTTAGTGATAGTATCCTCTGATTCTATTACATTTTCTATGTGTTTGATAGATAAATGACTAAAGAGTGATTTTTCTAAAAATTCAGTTGAGAAGGGATATGAATATATCCTAAATATTTTCTTTTTTTTTTTGAGACAGAGTCCCAGTATGTTGCCCTCGGTAGAGTGCTGTGGCATCACAGCTCACAGCAACCTCAGACTCTTGGGCTTACGTGATTCTCTTGCCTCAGCCTCCCAAGTAGCTGGGACTACAGGCACCTGCCACAATGCCTTGCTATTCTTTTGTTGCAGTTGTTGTTGTTTAGCAGGCCCTGGCTAGATTCAGACCCACCATGCTGAGTGTAAGTGACTGGCACCATAACCACTGTGCTACAGGCACTGAGCCATGGAATATATCCCAAATTTATAAAGAGCTCATGTAAGGTAGTCACATTTATGAACAGTGGAAATGCTGCTTATGTTCTAGAATTGTGCAGTTTAAGCATAGAGTCTTTTTTTTTCTTTTTTTTTTTTGAGACAGAATCTCAAGTTGTCACCCTGGGTAGAGTACCGTAGCATCTCAGCTCACAGCAACCTCAAACTCTTGGGCTTAAGCAATGTTTTTGCCTTAACCTCCCAAGTATCTGGGACTGCAGGCGCTTGCCATAACTCCCAGCTATATTTTTTGTTGTTGCAGTTGTCATTGTTGTTTGCAAGGCCTGGGCTGGATTCAAACCCACCAGCTCTGGTGTATGTGGCTGGCGCCCTAGCTGCTTGAGCTACAGGTGCCAAGCCTGCATAGAGTCTTATTTGTAAAAATTATTTGCTAGAAGGTTCTGGTTTTTTTTTTTTTTTTAGACGGAGTCTCACTATGTCGCCCTCAGTAGAGGCGTTACAGCTCACAGCAATCTCAAACTCTTGGGCTTAAGCAGTTCTCTTGCTTCAGCCTCCCAAGTAGCTAGGACTACAGGTGCCAGGCTATTTCTTTTTTGTTGTAGTTACCGTTGTTTTAGCTGGCCCTGGCCAGGTTCAAACCTACCAGTGTATGTGTCTGGTGCCATAACGACTGTGCTACAGGTGTAAAGCCTTGCTAGAAGCTTGCTAGAAGTTTCTTCAAAAATAGCTTCTATTGGCTTGGCGCCTGTGGCTCAAGCGGCTAAGGTGCCAGCCACGTACACCTAAGGTGGTGGGTTCGAATCCAGCCCGGGCCCGCCAAACAACAATAATAGCTGCAACCAAAAAATAGCCGTGGGCATTGTGACAGACACCTGTGGTCCCAGATACTTGGGAGGGCTACTCGATTGAGCCTAGGAGTTGGAGGTTGCTGTGAGCAGTGAAGCCATGGCACTCTACCCAGGGGGATAGCTTGAGGCTCTGTCTCAAAAAAAAAAAAAATAGCTTCTATTTCAGCAGCTCTCCAGTACAAGTTGTAACATGACTTTTTTTTAGATAGAGCCTCAAGCTTTTGCCCTTGGTAGAGTGCTGTGGCATCACAGCTCACAGCAACCTCCAACTCCTGGGCTCAAGCAATTCTCTTGCCTCTGCCTCCCAAGTAGCTGGGACTACAGGTGCTCGCCACAACGCTCCGCTATTTTTTGGTTGCTGCCATCATTATTTTTGGCAGGCTATGGCTGGATTTGAACCTGCCAGCTCTGGTGTATGTGGCTGGTGCCTTAGTCACTTGAGCCACAGGTGCTGAGCCTGTAACATGACGTTTATGTGATGTAGAAATAATATCAATGACAGTTTAAAGATCTCTGTACATTCATGATTCAATTAGAGTATACTTCTCCATGGCCATAGTTTGACCTACATAGAAATGCCAGTGGAACAATTTCCTACTTTTATTTGATGCCAGGAGTTTTCACTAGCCTCAGACTTTTTATTGGCAACAGATACACTAGTAGGCAGTGTGTTGGAAATGTTTATATAGCTATGTAATGTTTGCTTGTTGATAATACCCTAGGAAAACTTTTGCTTGCTTGTATTTTTTGTTTTAATCCTAAGAATGCAAGTAAGGAATTAATAGGATGTTTAGTCCTTGATTATAGGATTTCATAATAGGTGATAGAGCCCAGCAGACAGCATGCATCTAGAAATTTCTTATTTTCTAGATAGTCACCAAAAGTATGTTTTTGGCTTGAGGAAGAGGGAATTTTATTAGATTCCAGCTTTGTGAAATTTACTTATACTTGGGCAAGCCTAAGTGTGAGAATAGTATAAAGCTACTGCCTGGCTTGGGGAAGCCTGAATTCTAGGTACCTATTAAAATGTTTATGCACAACTGACTCAGAAATATAATTTGTAAGGCCCTCTTTATCCAAAACTACTTCTCAAAACTTCTCATTTTTTCCCTATAAAGCATGCTAAAGAGTTGTTCTTTGTTCAGTTCTAAAAGGAAGATTCATCATGTGTATGATTGGTACTTTACAATTATTTCTACTAGACTATTGTTAGAGCCATGTATTAAAGGTCTTGTGTGTATGTATATATACATTTTTATATATTAATATATATAATAATATATATATACATTTTTTTTTGAGACATAGTCTTACTTCAGTGCCCTTGGTAGAGTGCCATGGCGTCATACCTCACAGCAACCTCTAACTCTTGGACTTTTGCCTCAGCCTCCCAATTAGCTAAGACCACAGACACCCACCACCATGCTCGGATATTTTTAGAAATGGGGTCTCGCGGCTCGGCACCTATAGCTCAAGTAGCTAGGGCACCAGCCAAATACACTGAAGGTGGCGGATTCAAGCCCAGGCCAGGCCTGCAAAACAATGATGACTACAACCAAAAAAAAAAAAAAGAAAGAAAATAGCCAGGCATTGTGGTAGGCACCGTTAGTACCAGCTACTCGGGAGCTGAGGCAAGATACTCGCTTAAGCCCAGGAGTCGAAGGTTGCTGTGAGCTGTGACGCCATGGCACTACCACAGATGACAAAGTGAAACTCTGTCTCTAAAAAAAAAAAAGAAATGGGGTTTCATTCTTGCTCAGGCTGGACTCCTGAGCTCAAGCAATCCACCTGCCTTGCTCTCCTAATAGTGTTAGTATTATAGGCATGAGCCACGGTGCCTGGCTGGGTCTTGCATATATTAAGTTGTAACTTCTTGACTTAAGGTCCTTATATATATATA